TGGGCTTTTTAATAATAACCATTACTGGTATTTTTGTCACCATCACTCAGACTAGCTACGCATTAGAGGATGGAATGAATTTAACTTCAATTCCACCAGCTTGCATGGCAGGGCTCAAACTGCTGACCCCCACAGCAATAGACCAGGCCTCCACATCACTAACCCAATGAGATTCCCACTACACCACCCACTTCACAACACAGCACAAATGGATTTCTAGTTAGCAAGTGTTTTAGGAAGTGTTTTGTAGCTGATTGGTCTGGACTCTCATCTCAGTGTGACAGTCACATGGTCACCCAGTCATGTGTTCAGACAGTCACATGGTCAGATGGTCATGCAGTCAAATGGTTTGTCAGTCACATGGCCAGGCAGTCATGTGGTCGGACAGTCACATGACCAGGTTGTCAAGGTTTTGGTCTCTCACTCCTCAGGACAAACACAAGAATGTCAAATTTCAAACTGTCCCAGCAACCTATATCACAGGAGAAAGGGGTCCAGATGAGGTGGTAAGTTGACTCTGGTTAGGACCATAACACTGCAGCTGCTTGAACCAACTCCACCAGTCAATACGATCCCTGTTTCAGCTCCTTTCCTGCTTAATCACTTGTCAATTGAGACCTCAGCCTTGAATAAATTTCAATCCCTTCTGAGGAAGGGAATTCCACACTCTAACAACATTCTGAAAGGAGAAAATAATCTCCTCCTCTTTGTTGGAAAAGGGAGGTCTCTTATTCATAAACTGTGTCCTTTAGTTCTGAGGTCCCCACAGAGGAACATCTTCCCATTAACCCACCCTACCCAGTCACCTCGAAACCTTATACTTTTTAATGAAGTCACCTTTCAGTATTCTAAATTTAAATAGGTACAAGCTCAACCCGCACATGTACACCGGTTCACCTGCACATCTGCTAATGTGGTATACTGTATCCGCTGTACCCGGTGTGGCCTCCTCTACATCGGGGAAACCAAGCAGAGGCTTGGGGACCGCTTTGCAGAACACCTATGCTCGGTTCGCAATAAACAACTGCACCTCCCAGTTGCGAACCATTTCAACTCCCCCTCCCATTCCGCAGATGACATGTCCATCCTGGGCCTCCTGCAGTGCCACAACGATGCCACCCGAAGGTTGCAGGAACAGAAACTCATATTCCGCTTGGGAACCCTGCAGCCCAATAGTATCAATGTGGACTTCACAAGCTTCAAAATCTCCCCGCCCCCAACCGCATCCCAAAAGCAGCCCAGCTCGTCCCAGCCTCCTTGACCTGTCCATCTTTTCTCCCAACTATCCCCCCCCCCCCCCCCCCCGCCCAACCCCCCCCCCCCCTCCCCACGTACACTCACCTTTACTGGCTCCATC